GGGTATTTGCCACAAATGGTGTCAGAACAACTGGATAATGCACAAAAATGATGAACTTCAATCCATACCGGATCATCTACAAAATGCAGCTCAAGAGGATTATAGACCTGAATGTAAATCCTAAAGCTGGAGTCCATGTAGGGAACCTTAGGAGGAAGCCTGTGGCACTGGACCAGGCCATAGTTTTTTTTGGGTGGAAATTACTGTATTTTTCCATGTATAAGACGCTATTTTTTTCTGAAATCGTTAGACTGAAAATCAAGGGGCATCTTATACACGGAAGTGAGCTGAGGAGGGAGCCGTGAGGGTGCACAGCTGCCCATACCTTGTCAAACAGGCCTCGTCCAATCATGAGCCTTATTGTTACTGATGTCAGCTGATGCTGTAATTGGAGGTGGAGAGTGCAACAGGGACCTGAGCATTCTGAGCCCATAAAGATGTTAGAAATAAAAAGATAAATACCGGTAAGCGACTGTCTTACTCTGCAGAATTTAAACTGAATGTGATCAGCTGTGCAAAGAGCATGGCCATAGAGCTGCAGAGAGACAGTTTGGTCCTCCCACTGAGTGTATGATCAGACCGTGGAGAAAACAGGAAAAACAACCCCTTAAGATGCCAAAAAGGAAGAAGGCCTTAAGAGGAAAACCAGCAAAATGTTTAACATATTGATTTCTTAATTTTGGGTTGGAAAAGTGGAGGGCATCTAATGCATGGGGGTGTCTTATACATGGAAAAATATGGTACCTTTTAAAGCAAAAAAGAGAATTGATAAACTGGACTTTATAAAGATGAAGAAATTTTGTTCTTTGAAAGATACTGTTAAGAGGATAGAAAGACAATGCACAGTCTGGCAGAAAATGCCTGTGGCTCACTTCCCTGACCCAGGACTTGTGTTAAGAGCAGATAAAGAAATTGCCACACTCGTGACAGGTGAACAGGCAACCCAGGGAACAGTGGGCAGCAGATTCGAAGAGACGTCACCAAAGACCATAAGCATGTGGCAAGCAAGTTTATGAAGAGATGCCCACAGCCTTATTAGGGAGATGCCAGTCGACACAATAATGAGCTGCCACTGTACCCTCACTGGAATGGGCAGAGACCAAGGAGACTGCTCACACCATGTTTTGGCAAAATGCAAGTGAAATTTGAACTCTGCTGCTGGGAATGTAAAATTATATAACCACTTTGGAAAACTTGTCAGCAGTTTCTTAAAATGTTAAACATCCACCTGCTATATAATCCAGCCACTTTCTGCTCACATATTTACCCCAAAGAAATGAAAGCATATGTCCATATAGAGGCCTGGACAAAGAGGCTGCATTGGCTTTCGTGGTGAGCGCCACACATTGGCAACGACCAGGGAGAGTTTGAATGGTGAATGGTGCAGTGTGAGAGCTGGATTCCACGGATTCGGATGGAAGGGCCAACGACTGATCCATGTCACAGTGTTAGAAAAGCTCTGGAAGCTGTGCGAGGCGACAGAAGCCAGACAAGACTATATTACACACACTGTGAATATAAAATTCTAAATGTGCTGTCTTTCTGAACTTCATGTGGACGTGGTGGCTGCCGGGAGGAGGGCTGGGAGTGTCGGGCGCTGTGATTATAAAGTGGGTGGAGGAAACGGGTGCGTGCTCATTATCTTGATTACGGTGGTGCTGTCACTGGTGAGTCCTTAGGTCAGAATTGATGAAATTTTACACCTTCAGTATGCAGTTTATGTCAGTTATCACTCGGTGAATTGGTTAAAATGAATATTTTTAATTTTTATCTGTGTTGTGATTCCCTTCATTGTGCATTGACAATGGAGAATTATTCTCAATCTACTTCCTTAGTTGGCCTGTGAGCTTTTACTGAGGGTGTTTCCTGGTTAACATTGGTGCTACAGAATGTCATGCGTGTTCTGCCATGCAGGATGGGATCCTGGCCCTGGAGCCAGCGCCGGGGTGGGGGGGGGGGCACGGTGCCACCCCGCTGGGAGCCTGGCTCTGGGGAGCTGCGCTGTAGCGTGCAGGCACCTGTGAAGAAGATGAGGGTGTGGGAATGGGTGCTGATATTGCTAAAATGGGGCAGCACTTGGGAAGAGTGGCTGCCGTTTCCCGCTGTGGGTAAAGGCGTGTTTCTGAGCTGGAAGGCATCTGTACGCTAGAGGGCTTACCTTATCAGGAAGAGTTTGGTGTGGTGCCCAAAGCATCCAGAACATGCCTGAGATGCTAGGGACTTAACAGGAGATAGAATACACAAACTTTTATCTCTTCAGCACAAATGATTGAAAACCGCAGTTTCTCTGTTTTCCACCAGACCTAACCAAAGCAACATACAGCAGTCACGGTTCTCCACCAAAAGAATATAATGTGCTATGAATCGTCTAGATCAGTGGTCGGCAAACTGCGGCTCGCGAGCCACATGCATTTCTTTGGCCCCTTGAGTGTGGCCGCGAAGTTTCAGTCGCACTGGAAGTAACTTACTTGGAAACCCTATGGAGGGAGGTCAAGTGCTGTTGAGCAAAGTAGAGGCGAAAGACCACTGAAGTTTGTGAACTTGACCTGGAGGGCACAGCTCTGATTGAGGCCCATCAGCTCTCAGGCACATGTGTGTAGATGGTGCCCATCCCCAGCATCTCTTGGGGGAGGGGAGAGATTATTGTTGGACGTGCAAACTGCTGGTGACAAAAAGCAAGAGCTGATACTCCTGGCAGGAAGGGAGTAGGGAAGTCATCCCGCCTGTTAGCACCTCTGGGGCTGTGGCTGTTACAGAAGCAGAAAGTCACGCAATGCTTTTGTGTGTGCCAGGTGTGCTGATTGTGCGTTGTTTCACTTAGTTCTCAACACCACCTGTAGGCTGGGTCCTCGCCTCGCTTTATAGGGAAGAACCTGCGCCTCAGTAGGTTGGCACATGGACATGCTGATGGGGCTGGAACCCAGGTGTCTGACACTCCAGGTGAGGCATTGAGCCACTGTCCTGTGAGCCCTTCCAGTTATTAATGCAATAAAACAATCGACTCTGATGATAACCCCTTTGGGTGATCATGTGTTGAAAGCGAAGGTGTTGAAAGTCTGGAAAGTAGAAAAGTACTTTAGAACAATTTTTATTTTAAAAAGTTCAAATTAAAGTTTTTCCACTGAAAGATGTTTCCCCCCAAAATCTGTGAAACATTTTAGTTCCTGCTAAGCTAAGTTGTCAATTTCATTAAATTTGCCTACATTTTTGAATAAGAAACTGTAAGTTGAATTTTTAAATTCTGCCCCCTTCCCTACTGAAGGCCAGTCTCTCTATCTAGATCAGCGGTCGCCAGCCTTTCGGACCTGGCGGGCCACCTGCTGGCGACAGCTGCTCTAGAAGCTCCACAGGATGCACTGCCCTTTCTGTTTGTATCCCCTGCTGTTCTGATGGGGCTGGGCGGTGAGGACTCAACGGATGTTAATAGTAACCACCATCTTGGTCCCCTGAGAGCTCACATGCAGTGTCTGGTGCCTGGATTGAGAGCTGCAACCACATAGGTTTGTGTTCTGCTCTCTAGTGGCTGTGTCCCCAGAGCCCGGCATCACGCCTTGGAAATCCAGGGGGGAAGAAAGCAGGTGCCCGCTTCAAACGCACGGAATTCTAATCATAGCATAATTTTTATCTTTGACTCTGGATTTTGTAAATTTTATAAAGATTATAGCCATCATTTTGAAAATCAGTTTTAAATTTCAGTGTTTTACCTTTTTTAAAATTTTATTTTATTACCAGAGACCCGATGCAGGAAATTGAATTCATACAAGGGGCTTGGCCCTTGTAGCCACGGCGGCTGCCTCAGGCCTTGTAGCCCAGGCTTGGTCCAGATGGTCGTCCAGAAGGACATCCAGAAGGACGTCCAGTCTAATTAGCATGTTATGCTTTTATTATTATAGATTTATTTCAGAGGGGACGGGAGAGGGAGACTGAGTGGGGGTGGGGAGAGAGAGAGAGAGAGAGAGAGAGAGAGAGAGAGAGAGAGAAAGAGAAAGAGAGAGAGAGAAACATCAATGATGAGAGAGAATCATTGATCAGCTGCCTCCTGAATGCCTCCTACTAGGGATCGAGCCTGCAACCTGGGCATGTGCGCTTGACCGGAATTGAACCCAGGACCCTTCAGTCTGCAGGCCGGTGCTCTATCCACTGAGCCACACCAGCTGGGGCTCAGTTTTTTACTTTTAAAAAGTAGGAGGTGTTGGGCCAAGTTCTGTCCCAAGGACACACCTAAAGTTCTTTTTTTCCAAATTTGTTCGTAGTTGCTTTTTACAGGGGCTTCTAAAAGAGTGTGGTATATGTGAGAACGGGAAAAGGGTATATAAGCTTCCCTTCTCTTTCCCACTTGGAATTGCTTACTAAAATGTCTGTGGTGTGGTGTTTTTTAAAAATCCCAGGAGCTGGCACAGCCACAGGCTGGCTGTGCACCTCGGCCAGTCTGGTGACCTGCCTCCACCGCTGTCGTGTTGGGCGGCTGCTGGGACGAGTAAATGAGTTCGCATCATATCTGTAAATCACTTAGAATAGTGCTTGGCACATAAGGGCTCCATAAATGCTAATTATTACTTTTAGGGTTTTTATGAGGCTTAAATTAAATGAGATTATGCATGTAAAATGTTTAGTAGAGTATCTGGAATTTATTAAGTGCTCAATAAATGCTAGTGGCTCTAATGTAAATATTCAGGTGCCAATATGTCTAAAGAAGCTATGTCTGTGCGTCTCTGCACATGTCATATCTGTAGTGACTTTATTTCAGGGTGTGAGGAAAAATTCATTCCTATCTTGGCTTTTACCAGTAGGTACATGTGACAAAGTTGCACACAATTTAAATAGGTAATTACTTTCTGACTTCTAAGGTTAGGCCATTTGTTAGGCCACTCTCTTCAGGTTCGTGTTTATTTTACTGTTAGAAAGCACAGCGCTCTAATGCCACAGTTTAGCGTGGTCATCTCTCCGCCGAGCGTGTCGTGTCCGTCCCTGACCTGGCTGTCCTCTGTGTTGCCCTCTAGGTCTGTGGAACCTCGCTTCTCTCTTCTCCAACCTCTGTTTGTTTGTCCTGATGCCCTTTGCCTTCTTCTTCCTGGAATCGGAAGGTTTTGCCGGCCTGAAAAAGGTGAGTGGCCGTGTTTTGGAATTAAATTAGCTACATGGAGAAGTAAGTACCATTCATGTTGAACTATATAAACTTGGCTTTAACAGCCATTTGACGGGAATGTAATAAGTTTAATTAATAACAACATCTTGTTACTATTACTCTTAAGAGTATCTTAGTAACATTGCTTATGAACTGACTGTGAGTCCACAGGGACCCGGGCGTCTTTGACCTTTGAGTGCTCCTGGGGGGGTGCTGCCTAGTGGAGTGTGCCATGTGGAATGGGACACCAGCGCAGTAGCTGTTACTCTCTCTTAGGCTCTCTCCTCTCCTTTGGTTTAAAGCATGGAACAAAATTCTAGAAGCTTAGAATGTATCTTGATGTAAGTTATTTCATGTCCAGTGTTTTCAGGATTGTAGCCTGTTAGAGCATTAGACATGCTCCATTAGACAATCAGATTCCCAAGGTGCTGCAAGCCACTCCCGTGAGTGGGTAGGAGGTAGAAGTGGACCAATGGGAGACTTCGCAAGAGCATCTCAATTAGTCAGACTTTCTAAGTGGTAAGGACTTCATCCATCCTTGAATATGGCATTTTAAAATGAAAGGAATATTTTTTACTTATAGTCTGTGGAGCTCTTTGCTATAATTTTTGGAATATAATGCAAAGGTTTAAGTAGCTAGTACTTTTTGGGTGACTTTTAAACTTGACAAAATGAGCTTGTGTTACAGTTTATTTATAGCACAGCATGCCTTTTCATTTTTAGTCTATTCATGCAACATATGGGGGAAAGTGTGCTGTGGACCTTGTGGAACAGTACTGCAATGTCATGTAAATAAAGTTGGCTTGGGAGATTGTAAACTGTGTACTTTTTGTTTCACGTCACCTTTTGTGGGTTCTTAGGAATGAGATTGTTTAGCCAGTGTTTGACGACTCTGTTGTACACCTGAAGTTCAGCACGTTTTGGGCCTGCTCACCAGAGGGCCCGGGAGAGCCCCTGAGGGTGAGGTGAAAGTGTGTCGGTGGGCCCGCCTCTCTGGTTTCCAGACCTGGTTCATAGGTCAGCGCTTAGTCGCTTAGCCACACTGGCCGGACATCACTGGCTTTTATTTATTGGAGTTGTTTTTTATTGTGATGCGTTTAAATTACCTAAGTCATCTATATAATGTGAAAAATTACATAGTTTAAAAAGCTCTTTGTTGTAATTTCTTGAAGAAATTATAGGAAGTGTTGCTGAAAGGGATTTCGTTCAAACCCTCCTTTTATAAGGAGACATCTGAGGCCCAGCGATAGTAAATGTTATTAAATTGTCTACAAAGCTCATATGTGCAGGTGCAGAATTAGTACTAAACCCAGGGGTTGCTGTTGAGCTTCTGAAGTGTTTGTGTTGTTTGCAGCCAGCACTGCAGGGAGCACAGTGAGGGCCATCAGGTGGGAGCTGGCCAGGGACAGTGAGATGGGGAGGAGAGGGCAGTGGGTTGGGGAAGGAGAGGCCAGATGAATGGGGAGGTCGGTAGGGGGTCTCCTCGGGGCAGGTGCTGTGGGTGCAAGGAGTGGAGCAGAGCGTGCTCCTGGACCATCCCTGGTAGTCTAGAACGGCTTGTACACTACAGCATTCAGGAGGGCCGGAAGAATGAGCATTGAGAAGAAATGAGGTACTTGAGAAACCAATTCCGTAGAATTTGGGAGCCTTTGATGAATATTCATTCATCGACAGTTTAATTAAGCATGTACTAGGTAGTAATTATCCTGCTATTATAGGAGCTTGCCAGGGACAGAAATGGAAAGACAGGTTCCTGACTGGAAGGGTGTCGAGGGAAGTCAGGCAGGTGAGTAGCCTGTGGGGTGGTGGACTGTAGACTGCAGCCGCTGCGGAGGTGCAGAGGAGCACAGGTCCTGGTTCCGCGAGCCCTGAGAGCCCCGGGAGGTACAGAGGCTGCCTGCTCTGGAGCTGGGACCCGCCCACAAAGCAGGAGGAGTAGGCGGGTGTTGGCCTAGTGCAGTGGTTCTCAACCTTCCTAATGCCGTGACCCTTTAATACAGTTCCTCATGTTGTGGTGACCCCCAACCAAAAATTATTTTCGTTGCTACTTCATAACTGTAATTTTGCTACTGTTATGAATCGTAATGTAAATATCTGATATGCAGGATGTATTGTCATTGTTAAGAATTGAACATGCCCTAGCCAGTTTGGCTCACTGGGTAGAGCGTCGACCTGGGGACTGAAGGGTCCCAGGTTCGATTCCAGTCAAGGGCATGTACCTTGGTTGCGGGCACATCCCCAGTGGAGAGTGTGCAGGAGGCAGCTGATCGATGCTTCTCTCTCATCGATGTTTGTAACTCTCTATCCCTTTCCCTTCCTCTCTGTAAAAAATCAATTAAAAAAAAAAATATATTTTTATATATTTTATTGATTGATTTTTTACAGAGAGGAAGGGAAAGGGATAGAGAGTTAGAAACATCGATCAGCTGCCTCCTGCACACCCCCTACTGGGGATGTGCGCGCAACCACGGTACATGCCCTTGACCGGAATCGAACCTGGGACCTTTTCAGTCCACAGGCTGACGCTCTATCCACTGAGCCAAACCGGTTAGGGCAATAAAATATATATTTAAAAAAATTGAACATAATTAAAGCATAGTGATTAATCACAAAAACAATATGTAATTGTATATGTGTTTTCCGATGGTCTTAGACGACCCCTGTGAAAGGGTCGTTCGACCCCCAAAGGGGTCACGACCCACAGGTTGAGAACCGCTGGCCTAGTGCATCCCAGGCATGAGCAATACGTGAGCTTCTCTGAGAAAGGGAATGCCTGGTGCGGAGACTGGTTGAGCAGCCCGAGTCCTCCGCCGGGTTGTTGGGATTTTATGGGAGGTGGCAGGGAGTGGGCACAGGACTTCTATAAAGGATTTTTGCATCTACTGTTTTATCTAAGTCACTAAAGGAAGGTGAGACGCCGTGTGGTGGTGGCACCGGCATATGAAGATGTCTCACCGCCTGGCCCATCACATAGCGCCGGGGCACATGTCCCTATAGTCACTGTTGGTGTTTGCCTTACACATGCAGAACCCTCTTTTCTGTCTCTGCCGTGTGTGAATCTGCCCGCTGCAGACAACAGCCTGGAAAGCTCAGTGTTAAATACAGTTTCACATTTGGTCTCATAGGTGTACCTACTTTTATGTTTTTTATAAAAGTCTAGTTATTAGTTAAATAATTTTTAAAAACTGCAAATAATTGCCTCCCAATTATTTCCCCCTTCTTGTGAACTAACCAACTAGAAAGCGACTTGGCTTGAATTATTGGAGCTGAATTAGCAACTATCTCTAGAATTAAAAAAAAAAAACTGGACACAAAAACCGTGACATGTCACTCTTCTCTTGGGCAAAGGAAAACCACCGAGCCCCCGAAGTGTTGTGTTGTTTGCATGTGGTGCGGAGGAGGGGCCCGGGAGGCGAGGCAGCACCTCACCCCTCCGTTGTGCAGCTTTCTTTTTTAAACTTTATCTTTGTTGAAAGTATTACAGATGTTCCCCCTTTACCCCCGACTGGCCCCCTCCGTCTCCGCCCGGCAGGCCTTCACCACACTGTTGTCTGTGCCCATGGGTTTTGCATATATGCATAATAGTTCTTTGGTTGATCTCTTCCCAGCCCCCCGCCACCCATACAGCATTCTTTCCTCAAAGTTATGTGCTTCCCGTTTCTCTCTACATGAGGGAAAGAACATTCACTCTGTTACTGTCATCAGATCCCTCTGGCTCACCAGCTCCTCTGTGGGATCACAAAGGGCGCTGACGTGGTGAATGAAGGATTGTGGGGCATGGCTGCCCAACTAATTCCCAAACAGCCAAGAATTTTAAAAGACGGCGAGGAGGCAGCACTCAAGATATTGCTGTTGATCTGACTAGATGGTGGTGGAATGAAGGAGGCTGTAGAAACCAACTCAAAGAGCGGGTCCTTAGTGCCTCTGAGGGAGGAGGGTAACAGTGAAGGTGAGGGAGGAGTGGCCTGGAGCAGGGGAGGCTGAGTGCTGGGGAAGGCCGGAGTGCAGAGGTGAGACGCCCAAGCTTAGGGTTCCTCTGAGGTGAGTGGCCTTGTGTATGGGGGCCTAACGGGAGGAGGTCGCATGTAAAGCAAAGCCCGCAGTCCGGGACCAGCCCCTGGACGTCAGCTGTCCTTGCCGTCCTCCCAGAGCTGCCTGCGTTGACTGGTACCTGTCCTAGAAAATGCAGTGGTGTCGGGGGTCGTCCGAGGCCACTGAGCAGAGGCGGCTCCTCATTGTTCCCACAGCTTGGAGATTGAAGGTCCCATTTTAGAATGACCTAGACTGAAGCAGGGTCACCCCACTGCCAGACTAGGCTGCCAGGCTGTCCTAGGGATGTTTGGGAAGCTTTCCAGGGAAGGTGATCATGACATGTTATTTAAAAATATTCACACTCTTTCGGTTTTAAATCAATTACAGGGAAGTTGTAAGGGTTATTAGCATTGTCCAGTTGAGTGTGAATGTGCACAGCACACGGGAGCTTCAGGCTGTGCCTTTCTGTGAAGGAAGGCAGCAGTATGGCCGCAGGCCCGCCTCCTGGTAAGCTGCGATGTTCTGGGCCCAGCGCTGTAGGGGTACCCGTCACTGGCTGCGGCCTCAGCGTTCTGGGCCCAGCCCTGTAGGGGTACCGGTCACTGGCTGTGGCCTCCTCGAGTTGCTGACATGCTCCCTCGGCTGGCAAGTACATGTATTTCTGTTGATGCCTTTGAAGCTCTTTGCTTGCTGGTGACGTTGGACACATCAGTTCCCAGCGACATTGAAGAGAGCTTAGAAAACACCTCTAATTGGTAGCCAGCACAATAACCTGAGTAATGACAAACTTATAATATGGTTGAGTTCAAGTCGCTTTATATTCCTCGGCCACCCTCCTGGCGCGTTTTACTGTGTCTCAGTCTGTGGTGTCCCTGACGGCCTGTGGCCCCTCCTCCATCGATTCCCCTGGGCATCGATTTTAAAGCAGCCCCTTGCATATTGTGCCG